AGCTGCAGCTTCTCGTTTCCTCTTCCATTGCCTCCAGCTCTCCAGCATTTATTTATTTATTTTTTATTTATTTTTTTAAATTTATTATTTATTTATTTGTTATTTGTTTATTATTTATTTATTTATTGCAGCCTGAAGGAGTCTACAGTGCGTCGAGTAATAAAAGAATTCAGTTTGAGCGAATTCCTGCGGAAGCACAGGTGTACATACACCCCAACTCGTGGCCGCTTTGTCTGCAGCTTTCTTTTTAATTTTTTCTTTGTTTGTCATTTATTTATTATTTTTTGTCGTTTATTTATTATTTATTTATTATTATTCATTATTTATTTATCATTTTCGTTTTATTTACTTCTTTTTGCATTTTTCTCCGTCTTTTTCCACTTTGCGAATCTCCCGCTCCTCCTTTCTTCAATTCTTCTTCATTCTTCTCCGTTTAATCCCATTTATTCATTTATAATTATATTTATTCATTTATTTATTATTTATTTATTATTATTTATTTATTTATTTATTTATTTTTTTGTTTTTCTGTTTTGCTGCACAGGCTGGCCAAAGAGTCCACGCGGCGGCTGAGCCGGGCAGAGGCAGTTTTGAAAATGAAAGAAATAGTTTTTAGTCAAAAGCTTGGCGAGTTTCTAATTTAATTAATTTAACTAATTTAATTAATTTAATTGATTTAACTAATTTAATTAATTTAATTAATTTACTGTATTTTATTCATTTTATTTTAAATTAATTCACTTTATTTCGTTTTTAATTCGTTTATTCTGATTGTTTGTAACTCATTTCCCCCATTTTACTCGATTTTGACTTTCAATTCTTTTATTTAATTTATTCCTTTCACTTTGATATTTTATTTCCCCACAATTAATTTGCTGCGGACCCTTCCCCACTTGGCTAGCCACATTTGCAGCTTTTCTATTTCTCTTTTTATTTTTTATTTTTTATTTTTAAATTTTCTTCCTTTTCTCTTTTTTCATTTATTGTTTTTATTTGTTTTCTTCTCTATTTTCGTTTCCTTCCAATTTCTCTCTTTTGCTTCCGTTTTCTTACTGTTCTCTTCTTCATTAGTTATTTCTTTCATTTGTCAGCTAGCTAGCTAGCTAGCTAGCCAGCTAGCTAGCTAGCCAGCAAACCAACTAACTAACTAACGTGGCAGCATGTAGCTGGCTAGCTAGCTAGGTGTCTAGCCGCACACCAGCTAGCTAGCTAGCTAGCCAGCTGCCCAGCCATCTGGCTAGCTAGCTATCTAGCTGGCTAGCTAGCTAACTGGCTGGCTAGCTGTTGCTGCAGCAGCTAGCTGCGGCTGTGTCTCAACTTGCCCTCAGTGCTGCTGCTTCTTCTTCAGGCTACGAAGAAATGGGGACGGAAGAAATCGACTCTCAAGAAGAAAACAAATTCGAAGGTACATACTCAGCTAGCTAGCTGGCTAGCTAGCTAGCTAGCTGGCTAGCTAAGTAGCTGGCTAGCTAGCTGGCTGGGCCTAATAGGTGGAAGGCCGCAACGTGTAGCTAGCTAGCTAAGTAGCTAGCTAGCTAAGTAGCTAGCTCGCTAAGCAGCTAAGTAGCTAGCTAGCGAAGCAGCTAGCTAGCTAAGTAGCTGGCTAGCTAAGTAGCTAGCTAGCTAGCCAAGTAGCTGGCTAGCTAGCTAAGTAGCTGGCTAGCTAAGTAGCTAGCTAGCTAGCCAAGTGGCTGGCTAGCTAGCTAAGTAGCTGGCTAGCTAGCTAGTTGGCTTCATAGCGACGCAGCGGTCAGCGCAGCAGCACATGCAGAAGCAGCTGCTGCTGCTGTCCCTGCTGCTGCATCTGCATCTAACGCTGCCGCTGCACCTGCTGCTGCTGCTGCTGCTGCTGCTGCTTGCAGGATGGAAAAGCACTTTTGACTGGGTTATGCGGCAGCACATTGAAGTGGAGACTATGTCTGCTTTCCCTCTTCCAGCCAAGAGGTAACCCTAAACCCTAAACCCTAAACCCTAGGGCCCAGCCTCAAACCCTCGCCCACAGACCCTTCTAGCCGCTCTTTAGGGTTTACGGTTTTTCGTGCTGCTGCTGCTGCAGGCAGCGTCAGCTGCAGCAGCAGCAGCAGCAGCAGCGGGCAGCGCTTTGCTGAGGCAGTTAGCTTCTTTAGCAGCTAGCTAGACGGCTAGCTAGCTGACTAGCTAACCAACCCAAAATCTAGCTAGCTAGCTAGCTAGCTAACGAGTCAGCTAACTAGCTAGCTAGCTAGCTAGCCAGTTGGCTAGCTAGGTAGCTAGCTTCGTAGCTTAGAGCGTTCTGATGTGCCCCTTGACCAGCTAGCAAGCAAGCCAGCTAGCTAGCCACTCGACTAGCTAGCTAGCTAGCTAGCGATTTAGCTACCCAGCTAGCAAGCTGGCAGTTAGCAGCTAGCTAGCCACCTAGCTAGCTACCTATCTAGCCCTCTAGCCAGCTAGCTGGCTAGCTAGCCAGCTACCTAGCCACCTAGCTAGCCACCTAGCTAGCTAGCCACCTAGCTAGCTGCCTAGCTAGCCAGCTAGCCAGCTAGCCAGCTGGCCAGCTAGCTAGCTAGCTAGCCAGCTACCTAGCCACCTAGCTAGCCACCTAGCTAGCTAGACACCTAGCTAGCCACCTAGCTAGCTGCCTGGCTAGCCAGCTAGCCAGCTAGCCAGCTGGCCAGCTAGCTAGCTAGCTAGCTAGCTAACTAACTAGCTAGCTAGCTAGCTAGCTAGCTGCGTTGTTTGTTTGTAGGGACTTCGTGCCTAAGCGAGTGGATGTGGACTTGACAGTTGGAAACAGCGAAAAGCTAAAAGTGATTTCTTGGATTGACCCAAATGAAAAAGTTGTTTTTTGAAGTTAAATTGAAAAGATATTTAAATTTACTTTAAATTGAATTAAAAAGATATTTACATTTAATTTAAATTGAATTTAAAAAGATATTTAAAAGCACATTAAATTAAATTAAAAAGGATATTTAAAATGAATTAAAATTAAAATTGAAAAAGACATTTAAAATGAATTTAAAGGAATAAGAAGGAATTAAAAGGACATAAAAGGGGAATAAAAAAAATTAATCTGGAAGCAGCTAATGGAAGAGAGAAATGGAAATAAAAAGAATAAAAATTAAAAAAAATTTCAAAAGATTTGAAAATATAAAAAGGGTTAATTATTACTATTAAATAATAATAATTAATTCCTTTATTATTATTATTAGATAATATAATTAATTCTTTTAAATCCTTTTAAATCTTTTTAAAAGGATTTTAAGAGGATTTAAAAGAATTAAAAATGAAAGAAAGAAATTAAAATGATTAAATTATTTTAATCTAAGTAATTAATTAATTTTAATTGATTAATTTTAATTAATTAATTTTAATTAATTATTTTATTTAAATTGATTAATTAATTTTAATTAATTAATATAAATTGATTATTTAATTTAAATAAATCAATATGAATTTTAAACTTTCTTCTTTTCCATTGGCTGCAGTCCACTCAAGAAGACAAATCAACTTTACAACTTTTTTAAGACTTGTTTCCCCACCCTGCGGTTTAGGGTTTAGGGTTTAGGGTTTAGGGTTTGGGTATTTCTGGGCGTCGAGGTCTCCCCGGTTTAGCCTCCAGAGCGCCTGGGCCTGCTGCTGTTGCTTTGCACCTGCTGCTGTGCTGCGCTGCTGCTGCTGCTGCAGTTGCTGTTGCTGCTGCGGCTACTGCTACTGTAGATACAGTTGTTATTGGAGCTACTGCTGCAGCTACACTTGCTATTGCTGCTGCGGCTACTGCTGCTGCTGCTACAGCTGCTGCAGCTTCAGTTGCTGTTGCTGCTGGCTACTGCCGCTGCAGCTACCGTTGCTGCTGCTGCTGCTGCAGCTACCGTTGCTGCTGCTGCTGCAGCAGGTCGAGCAGCTGAGGCTGTTCCGTTGCCTTCAATTCCGTGCACGGCCAGTTCGAGGGTTTACGGTTTGGAGCAAAGGGTTTGGGGTTTAGAGTCAAGGGTTTAGGGTTTGTGTGTTGTCTGAGGGTTCAGGATCTAGAGGGGGGGGTTAGGGTTTAGGGCTGCACGGAAACGCTAAACCACGCAGCACCTAAATTAGGGTTTAGGGTTTAGGGCTTAGAGGCTTTTGCGATTAAATTTGAAGTATAGAATGCGGTGATTCGAGTTATATAGCTTAGACGCATCGCGCAGGATCGAGGGTTTAGGGTTTAGGGTTTAGGGTTTGGCCATTGGAAGCACGCCAAGAAGGCGCAGCTGGTAATGCCCCGCGGCGAATGTTTTGGATTTTCTTTTTGATTTTAAAATTAAATTAAATTAAAATTAAAATAAAATAAAATGAAATTAATTGAAATAAATCAACTGTTCTTCGTCAGCACGTGTTTGCTGCCGGAGCAGCAGCGCTTGCAGCAGCAGCAGCAGCAGCGGGAGCAGCAGCAGCAGCAGGGTTTGGTATGCCGGCTCTACATTTCGCTTCTGCTGTATTTCAGTGCTAAAATTGATAAAAATAAAAAGCAAATTAATAAAAATAAATGTTACTATAAAGAGAGAAGCCCCGGGTGGGCTTTGCTGCAGCAGCAGCAGCAGCACCGGCGGAACAGCAGCGGCTGGGGGCTTGCTTCCACAGCAGCAGCAGCAGCAGCAGCAGCAGCAGCCCCACAAGGGCAGCAGCAGGGGCATCACTCGTGGTTAAATTTGGATTGTCAGGCGAGGCGCTGGCTTTCTCCACGACAGCAAAAACCTTCCCGGCTGCTGCTGCTGCTGCTGCTGCGAAAATGGCTATGAAGTACGTTGCTGCTTACCTCATGACTGTCCTGGGGGGCAACGAGGCCCCCACAGCTGCTGATGTTTCGAGGGTTTTGGAAGCAGTGGGTGCGGAGGTAAACCCTGAAGTTCTCAAAACCCTAATTGACGCCATGCAGGGCAAAGCCGCCCACGAGGTAAACCCTAAACCCTAAACCCTAGCCGCCGCGGCCCCACGCCCGAGCCAGCAGCCGGCAGCAGCAGCTTCAGCGCGGCAAAACGCAGTTTTGTCTTCGACGGGACTTAGCGTTTAGGGTTTAGGGTTTGGGGTTTAGGGTTTAGGGTTTAGGGTTTAGGGTTTGGTGCGTAGAAGGCGCAGCCCGCGCGGAGCCGGAGGCCCTGCAGCAGCAGCAACACTCCCTCCCAGCGAGGCTTGCTGCTGCAGGCTGGCAGCAGCAGCAACAGCAGCAGCAGCAGCAGCAGCAAAGGGGGCTGTGGGGTGCTTGCTGCTTTTGCTTTTAGGTGATATCTGCGGGTCTGGAGAAGCTGCAGAAGGTGCCGTGTGGCGGCGGTGCAGCAGCAGCAGCACCTGCTGCTGCTGCTGCTGCTGGCGGCGGCGACAGCAGCAGCGCAGCAAAGGAGACTAAGAAGGAAGAACCTGAAGAAGAAGAAGAAGATGGAGACATGGGTTTGTCTCTCTTTGATTAAAGCAGCAGCAGCAGCAAGTTGATGCTGCAGTTTACTTTTTACTTTAAAACAGACGCTTTACGCAAACCCTCGTTTAGGGTTTCCGGGACAGGCCTAAACCCTGAATCGGGGTTTGCGGCGGGCGCCGCCAATCTCCGGGGCGGCTCGTATACGCTATATCAGGGTTTGGAGCTTGAGCGTAGACCCTGTTTTAGGGTTTGAAGGCTATTCTTAGACTTTAAATTAGGGTTTACGGGCAGTTCGTGGACCCTAAATTGGGGTTCGGATGCTGAGCTCATTCGCTGTTTTAGGGTTTGCAGGCGACTAGTGATCGACAAATTAAACAATAGTGGTTGCCAGTAAACCCTAACTTAGGGTTTGCAGGTAAACCCTAAAGAAGGGTTTGTTTTGGTGTACAGACACCGCAAGCGGCCGACAGTAGACATCCGGTGTAGCGTTTGCTGCTGCTGCAGCTGCTCATGCTGCTGCAGCTGCTCATGCTGCTGCAGCTGCTCATGCTGCTGCTGCAGCTGCTCATGCTGCTGCAGCTGCTCGTGCTGCTGCAGCTGCTCATGCTGCTGCAGCTGCTCATGCTGCTGCAGCTGCTCATGCTGCTGCAGCTGGGGGCCGAGGGGTCTAGTGCTGCGCCTCTAGGGTTTTCAGTATCGGAGTTCTAGGGTTTAGGGTTTAGGGTTTAGTATTTCGGGTTTGCGTTTAGACCTTTTTTCCAGGTCTAGGGTTTAGGATTTGGAATATAGGTATAGATTCAAGCATTAGGCCCCCGTTCTAGGGTTTAGGGTTTAGGGTTTGCATTACGGCTGTAGGCCTTTTTAGGGTTTAGGGTCTACGTTTAGTCCCTTGGGCTTCTTCCTAGGGTTTAGGGTTTAGAGTCTATGTCTAGGCTCCCGAGCTTTTTCTTAGGGTTTAGGGTCTAGGGTTTATTTCTAGGCTCCGGGGCTTCTTGCAGTTGAGGGTTTAGGGTTTACACCACGGCCTCAGGCCTACGCAGCCGCGAGGGTTTAGGGTTGAGGGTTTAGGGTTTAGGGTTTGCAGCTGGTAAGCTGTTGTAGGCTTTTGCCCACTAAACCCTAAACCCTCATTCTAAACCCTAATCTCAATTCCAAGAAATATTTGCTAAACCCTAAACCCTAGATCCTACGCATTTCGGAAGGCGCAGCGTCGTGAGCTCCTGCTGAGGGTTTAGGGTTTAGCGTTTAGGGTTGGCAGCTTTGTGCTGCTTGTGCCGAGGGTTTAGGGTTTAGCGTTTGGGGTTTACGCTAAGTTTTCTGGGCCCTTCTATTTACTTAAGATGAGATTTAGATCCCCGCAGCAAATGAAGAGGGTTTAGGGTTTAGGGTCTGGGCTCTAGGGATTAGGGTTTAGGGTGAGGGGCCTAGGGTTTAGGGTTTAGTGTTCAAGGCTTTTGAATTTGAGTTTGCTGCTGAAGGGTTTAGGGTTTAGTATCTAGGGTTTAGGGTTTAGCGTTTACAATTTAGGGTTTAGGGTTTAGGGTGACTCGCCCCTCCCTAAACCCCCAATAAGAAATTTCTTACATATAAACCCTAGACAAACCCCTAAAAGGCGTTTTGGGGGCCCCCCGGGGCCCCTCAGGGGCCCCTCAGAGGCCCCTCAGGGGCCCCTGGGGGACCCCAGGGGGCCCCCAGGGGGCCCCCAGGGGCCCCCTGGGGGCCCTGAAGGCCTGGAAGCACCCAGGGTACAGCGTGGGGGCCCTCTGGGGGCCCTCTGAGGGATAGTTTGGGGGGGCCCCCAGGTGACCCTCTGGGGGCCCCTAGGTTGCCCTGTGGGGGCCCTTTAGGGCCCCCCTAAAAGGGTACTTGCGCATCACTCTGGGGCCCCCTGGGGGGCCCCCAAGAAGGCTTTGGGGGCCCCTAGGGGCCCCCAAATCCTCTTAGGGGCCCCGAAGTGAATCTGGGGGCCCCTGGGGGCCCCTAAAGAACTGTGTGGGGGCCCCTAAGAGAAGACTTCAGAGGGGTTCATGAAGTTCTCTAGAAAGGCCCCTGGGGGCCCCCGGCAGCTCGCTCAGAGGGTACACTGCGGGACCCCTGGGGGCCCCTAGGGGCCCGTAGGGGCCCCCGGGGGCCCC